CATCCGGGTCCTTCGTTTTGCCTGTCTCTCAGCTAGCTCTATCGAAGGACCCGGATGGTGTGGTGGTGAAGTGCGCTGCTCCCCGGTAAGGACAACAGCGCGTGTTCGTTCCCCATCGCATACACTTGCGGTCCGGAGTTTTGCGAATATCTCAGCATTATATACGAGTTATATTTCGCAACATACCCTGCCATTGAAAAGAAAAAAAGGCAGTAAATAAAAGGGTTAAGATTAGATTGATTCTGCAAATAAATACGTATTAAATGCTTATATTGTTATTTCTCTCTGTGCTTCAAGATATTGGTTCCTTATGTTCTCATATTAAAAAGATCTAAGTTCTTCTTCAAGTCCAGTATTGTTTTCGGGTATACCATGTGATGGATAGAATTGCTCTCCCCTGACTGAGAGTTTATAAACAAATATTTTTTTTCAGCGGCTACTTGGGGTGGTGGATTAGACCAGACCTTCACTTCTGTTGGACATACACATCCAGATGTCGTCGACCTTCCCAATGAAGCTCTTGACCCCGAAACTATCGAGCAGTTTCGTCAAATGGGTTGGTTTGATTCGAATTACGGTTTATGAGTATTTCTTATATATTTATGCTCTCATTAACATTATTATGTCCACTAATGTAGGCTTTACAAATAATGAGGAGGTGGGTCCAACTTATTCTAATGATTGGCGTGTTGTTGATGGCGATACTCATTCACAATGGCAGCACTCGGTTCGTTTTTCGGTTAATATTTTTTCTGTGTAGTTTTAATGAATGCCTCTATATGTCTGTGGTATTGATGTTGTACTAATTTAGCAGTCGTATTCCGCTCCAAGTGCCGCCTACCAACAAGGTGTTATTCAACAGTGGGAATCTCAAGTCGTTTATTCCAACCAACCTCAACCTACACAACCTTATCGTAAAGTATGCTTGATTTTGACGAATTTTACAAAATTAAACTTCGTTCGTCTTAACACTTACTTACACTTGACCTAAACTAATTCTAGCTGTTCAGTTGACTTCATTACTCCGTATTTCTGTTATTTTTCCGATCCATAGTTTTTTCTCATGAGAAAAACACAGTGGTCAGCATTTGTATTCAGCGTTGTTATTCTCCTTAGCAATTTTTCTAGACACAAAGTTCCCAGGCACATCAACAACCAGTATTTTATGTACCCGAAAGTTACGATAACTCGCCATCGACAAAGTCAGTGTCGGTGGGCATTCTAATTTGTTTGTTTTGAGTCATTGTGTGCCTTCAAAACCGTGTTTTTTCTTTTGTAGTATTATGGGCACTCGATGGACGGTTATCCGATGCAACTACATAGTCATAATACACTACAAGGTAGTGGGAATTCCACGTCGGCTTACTCGCACCCTCAACCAGCACCGTCTGGTTCACACCCTCCACCTCATGCAGGTTACCAGCAACTTACTGCTCCACAACCATCTGTGGATACCTATGCGGTTAGTTTCGTTTATAAGATAATTCCTGTAGGTTTATCCACATGGCAGTATAATTGTTCTGCTTCTTGAAATCTACGTTTAAATTGTTGACTTGCTTACGAGTATAATTGCAATGCTAACGTTTCGTTAACAATCCGAAATTAAAAGTGAATTGTAATTTCTTTTTTACTCATCTTTTTCCGGACTTTTTAAAACAGCTTGTTGCGAGTTTTAACACGGTTCCAAATAAATGAAAAATATCTCTGACGATTGTTCAGGTTACATAATACTGTCAATAGAATTTTTATTTGCCTAACTGTTCAGTATCTTCGCCCTATTCAGAGCCGTAATGATTCGATTCGGTTATACAAGACTGAGTACTGCTCGAATGAAGTGATCTCACTCGGAAAATCGTTAGCAGAATAAGAAATTTATATAACAAAATAGTACTAACCTGCAAGCTGAATAGTCTATAAAGATGCTGGCTAACTGAAAGTCTGTTCACACAAGTTCAAATGAGGAAGTCGACAGTATTGAATGGGAACATTATTCAGTACCAACTTTAACGGGAACAGTAATTTCCATATTTTTTCCAATCATTGAGGGATGGTGCTATTCAGCACATTGCTAAGTACTTGATTTTTTTTCTGCATTTTGGAACAAAAATTCGATTTTAATAGTGCGAGTTCCGTAGTTGCTTGATATTACTAAAACGAATTAAAGTTTATGGACTATTATAAATAATAAAATACATGTTTGTTTTGGGCGTAGGTTTTTCTGTGTTTCATATTGTACATGCTTCAAGGACATAATGATTTATGTCCAACATTTTTCCTCAAGCAGTGGATTTCATGTACATTTGTCCACTGCATCAACCAAACCGTATCAACAATTTCATTGTCTATTTTAACGTTGCAATTTAGCATAAAAAATTATGATTACGTCCATAATTAACAGAAAGAACTTGTGAATTATTCCAGAGTGCTATTCAACGTTCGGAGAAAGAACTAGAAATGATGCGACACCAACTAGGAAATGCTCTTCCGAAACGGCCGAACTCGTTTGATCCAAGTGTTCGCCAACTGCTACTGACCAGTCGGCTCGATCAATCTTCTCTTGTCAATGTCAGTTTAATAATTTTAGGGGTTGAAAAGCTTATGGTGCAGATTAGTCTTGATTTGCGATTTTGGTCAGTTTCTGTCTTGTAAATCTGCATCCTTGATATCTTTACTTTATCGACTCACGAGATATCTACAGAAACTCGTGAGCAGGCAAAACAAAAGACCCTCATGGTGTGGTGGTGAACGCGTTACTCCTTGGAAAGGACAATAGCGTGTTCGTTTCCCACCGCAGGCACCTGCGGTCCGGAGTTTTGCAAATATCTCAGCATCATCTTAGTTGTATTTCACATGATACCCTGCCGTTAAAAAGAATACGTAGTAAATAAAAAGGTTAAAATTGTGATTATAACTGTAGCCTCAGCTTAAGTCCGTTCAACGTCGATTTGGGCTCCCCAGATCAATTCCTTTGACGGGTGATTGCTGATGACAGTGATCAATAGAACTAGCTGAGAGACATGCGTAACGAAGGGCCGGCATGCTGTTGTGGTGAACGCGTTACTCCCCTGAAAGGACAATAGCTCGTTCGTTCCCCACCGCAGACACCTGCGGTCCGGAGTTTTGGAACTATCTCAGCATTATAGAAGTTATATTTCGCAACATACCTTGCCTTTAAAAAGAATAGGCAGTAAATAAAAAGGTTAACATCCTCCATTATTTCATATGATGAAAGGTGGACGTGGCTACCGAAGGGATCTGGGTAGTATTCGTGAATGATTTTCTCCATTGCCTTTTTGGAAGCTGTAACTTTTTCGTCTGGGGGTCGGAGTGCAATCTTCTTGGTTTTGTAATTGGCGAAGCTTCGGTGGGCTTTGCTAATGCTTTTCCCAGCCTCTGCGGCTTCTACCATTAATGCTGCTCTTTTCTCTTTAACATATTTTATCTCCTGTCTGCATTGTTTTGCAAATTCAGACGTTAGTTCGCGGTTGCCTGCAACTCGTGCGATTCCACGCTGGCGTATCAGCTCTAGTATTTCTAGATACAAACCTCTCTTGGTGACTTTCTAACTGTGAGCTTTCATAGCGCTAGCGTGGTGTTGAAGGAGCCGATCGTATTTTTCGTCGATGTTATCAGCAACGACATCTTCCCAGCAGCCGATTAATGGATTGAATAAATCTCAGTTTACGGTAGTTCTGGGACTTCGGTTTCTGGGTCTTCATGATACACTTAGAGAGCCGCTCGCTCTGTTCATTCCATTCTAATCCATGGTTCTCAATGTGACGTTCTTCAGACGTTCCTCTTGTTCCATTCTCGGCGTTGAAATCTCCAATGATAACCTTGAAGAATATATGGTCTTCTCTGTTGAACTTCTCCAAGTCCATATAGAACGCTTCGTCTTCTTCTTCGTCATAATTTGATGTCGGTACGTAAACGACGAAGATTGTCGAAGCCGGAATTGATTCACATCTTTTTAATTGTAAACGTCTGGTTCGGGTTGTTAGTTGTTCGAATGAATTAATGTTCATGGACAAACTCGTGTTGACGAAAAAGCCGATGCAGCCCACTTCTCCATTGTCGCGAGTTCCGAGGAACAGTTTTTCTCCGGTGTCATGGACGGCGTTGATTGGGTGGCGTTATGTCGTCTCCGGCAGGCCGATGTCGTCTCGCGTTATCCTTTCTGCTTGCATAATCAAGTCTTCTATCGAAGATTTGGATGCAAGTGTGAGAGCATTGTAGGTATAGATCGTTGCCTTAGTTCTTTGCGATCCAGGAAACTTACATTCGCCCTAAGATTTCAGTAGCCTCTCCGTACTCACCCTACCCAACGCTGCCGATTTGGGGGCTGTTTCGGGGTCAATGGAATGAGGCCCGTTTATTTTACTGTTCTTAGCCTTTCGGTACCTACGCATAGCTTGCTGGGTTCTGAACGTGCGAGCTGGGTATACTCACGAGTTGCTTGCCAGTCTCTCCCGGAGTGACGTGGAGCTTATTTGTTGTAGGCGATTCCTAATCGCCTCCCATATGATTCTGTGTCACTTTATTGCGGGTTTTGGCCGAACTGATTCGTAGAATAGAATCCGCATGAACTTCAGCGCACCCACACACGCGTGCATGAATAATCCTCGCAAATAGAGAGTATGTGCGAAATTAGCGCAGCAGAAACAAGAAATCCATCTTCTGGATCCACCTGCGTCTCAGGGAAACATACGGTTGCTATTAGACCGTGATTAACCTCGCCCACCTCACCTCCCAACCTGAGGACGCGCCACGTAGCCTCGCGACCAACCGGCTCGAGATCCCTCAAATCAGGGACCTCCGTGTATATATATTATATACACATATATACATACGTATATATATGAATGCTGTTTCGTCGGTGAAGAATCAAACAGCACTGGGTCCTCGATGAGATCTTAACGTCTGAAGAACCTTTTACCAGTTCTCATAAACACACCGGTCCAGCTCTTTAAACATTAACTTGTCTTAATGCAAGGTCTCTACTCAGTGGGAGGCCAGCAAGACCGTGCTGTTGTTCAATTAGAGTGATCTCCACGATATCCCAATTTGTTTCCGGAGTTGAGCAGAGGTAAACGAGCGGCTGGAGAAGCTTTCCAAAATATCGAGGATGTAGTCAAGAGATCCAACAAAAGCTGACTCTGTGCGGAACTTTTCGACTGCACGATTCTACGCGCCTTATCGTATTCGTCAGAAACCTGGTCGGTTGGAAGGATGAGAGACCAGTCATCGTTATTGAACGTGCAGTCGAAATAACGATCAGAAATCAAGGATGCCATTGTATGCACCAAACTGTCGAAGATAAGGTGGGCCGTACACGTAATGCAACCGTTAGTGACTGGGTTCCTCGGGATGTTAAACACACTGCAGCAGGACCACTGACCCGGTAGTTAGAGCTCTTCACGAAAAGCCTAGAAGAATAGTATAAGAGCGAGCAGAACCCACTGGGCTACTCTTGCACGCGACAGGGGGGAATGCAAGATTTACTGGCTCCCGCTTGAATCACTAGACCACTAGACGATCAGCGGGACGACAGGTGGCAGGGATGATGTATACATATGTACTTGGACACATTTGTATATACATGTACATTTTCGTCTACATACTAGTATATACTGTAAGATAGCATCACATATTGTGCGGATTCCTGCACTTCCAGCTTTAGATTGGTTTCCTCGCACCCACCAACCGCGGAGGCATTTACATCTGCTCGTGGGTTATCTGCTATTTAAGCACTTTTGATCTTTATGAATATCATCGGGTGCTGAGCCGCTTCGTTTCTTCTTAAAATTCTGAGATTGGCGTGCCAGCGTGTTATCACAATTTAGTCACAAGTTGTCGCCAGCTTTTGTAGATTTAGTAGAGCAAGCCGATCCCATACAGTTCTTACCAAGTTCGCCACCTCAGAGGAATGAATGCGCTGGTTGACTCGGTGCTGTATAGAACCAAAGCCTTGTACGTATTGTGGGTTATCGTTACTACTGTTCTACCACGTTCCACCTATAAAGAATAAACACGTATACGTGCATATACAAATATATATATATATAAATACATATATATATATGCGCGTGCGTATATATGCATAGACGTATATGTATAGACGCGTATGTATGCATGTATACATATGTATGTGTACATATATCTATGCATTTTTATACGTATACATGTGCATATATACGCATATATACATATATATGTACTTGGATACTTGGACGGCTCGTCTTCACTGGTTTTGTTGGCCCTAGCATAATCACTGTTGTTCGGAGTTTTGCTGGTTTAGCCATTGTTTCCCTGGAGTACCGTGATTAGCAAAGCAAAAGTTTGTCTCAGGTCGTCACCACCACAGGTAGTCGCGACCCTTTTGGATCAGAGCGGGATTTGCCACCTTGCGACTAGTTTGGTAACAGAACAGTGGTGAATTTACTCTTAGCTAAGTTTGTTGACGGAAATGCCGGGTAACGACATAAACAAGACGAAATCGTGAAGAAGAAGTGCGTGTTAAACGGAGCGAATGCGATAAGTGCTGGGATCCGCGCAGCAGATGTGATGAAGAAGGGTCGTGTAAATTAATGTAGAAAAATATGATCTGCAACGCCTCTTACTAGGTTCGACGAAGGGAGGTTGTGTTTTATGCATCGTGACAGGATTGTGCAAGGCCAGCATAGCAACCCACATTTTATGTACAGTAAAGCGACCACCATCTTGTTCAGAGGTTTAAATGTCTGCGTTATTTAAGATGTACATGAAGTGTGGTGGGCAACAATGGGCAGAGTCTGTCGATCTCGATCTGGTCATGGCTGTGATAAAATATTGCATGGATAGTCGAATAGACGGTACGTAACGTGAAAAGTCTGCACTATGTTTTTTTTAAAACGAGTCTTTCTTCTCACATTTTATTCTGCTGCTCAGCATTTCCAGCAGAAAGGTTCGCATCAGTGTTATTTTATTAATTATTCAATATTTTTTTATTTTATTTTATTATTTTATTGTAAGCAATTATTTGATCTCGTACAAAGGTTGGAATTTGTAATTTTCCTACGATATTCTGCAGTTTTTTATTTGTTGTTTCGCAGTATCTATGCTATTGCTGGCTCGTACTAGGTGCTGTTCTCGTATTTCTACCTGGATTTGATGATATCACCCAGATGCGCGACAAAATCCTTAGTGAGTCGTGGCGTGGTCGCCAACCTGTAGTTTTCACCCTTCACTCACAGATGAATTCTTTCGAGCAGCAAAAGGTGTTTGACTCAGTTGGACTGACCGAGAGGAAAGTGGTAAGTTGTGTCAATCTAATTTACCGTGTTTTTTATACCAGTGGCTACTGCTTTAGTGTTTTGGTCCATTTATTGACATGTCGGTAAAAAGATTGTATTTTAAAATTGCTCAAATGCAGATCCGTAACTTTTGATCTGCCGATTTTCTTTTTGAATGTTCATAGCTTGGCGGCAATATGTAGACCACTTAATTTTGCAAATAACTGGTGCAAGATATAGTAACTGTGTAAAAAAACACAGATTCTGTCGACGAATATTGCTGAGGCCTCGCTAACAATTGACGACGTTGTATTCGTAATCGATTGTGGTAAGGTGAAAGAGAAGACCTATGACCACACATCGAGAATCAGTCAGTTGAAAGTGACTTGGATAGCGAAAAGCAACGCTGAACAGCGTTGTGGTAAGAGATGAATTTCTTACACTACTTTTCTACGTTCTACATTTAACGTATTAGGGCGAGCTGGACGGTGCCAAGAAGGTTTTTGTTTCTGTCTATACAGCGTTGAAGATTACGACGCGATGCTTCCGACCCAAATGGCGGAGATGCAGCGAACAGCAATTCATGTATGTCTTCCAAAACTTTGAACGTTCATGTGCCACTGATTTTTGCTCTGGGGAAATCAGTGTTGAACTACTTATTAGCAGTTTTTAAGATCTTTTTTGTTGTAAGCTGTTGAGAAAATAACTAATTCAGGATGTATGTCTTCATGCAAAGATGTTTGCGCCGGAGAATATGACGGTGAAACAGTTCCTTCAAATGGCGCCCGAGCCTCCATTGGCGGATTCTGTGGATAAGAGTATGGCGTTTTTAGAGGTGATTCTCTTTTTCTTCAACTTCTAGGATTTCTTCCTTGCATATGACTTTACATACGCAAACGTACATACATATATATATATATATATGCGTTTGTATACACCTACACGTATACATATACAGCATGTAGCACACGTGTATATACGGAATATATTTCCATATCCCATATACATATACATGTATCTGTATACATAGTATATATATGTATACATATGTATACATATGTACATTTGTGTTGCTACCATATATACGTACTTGTGTTGCTACTATTATTATTTTGTTATTGTTTTATCATTATCAACATTTTTGCACTTTTTTTTGTTTTTTCATGCAAAATGAGTAAAATTATGTGAAATTCCAGTACTTCATTAAAATCTCTTTCAGCAGCTAGGGGCACTGTATTCAGAAGCAAGTACCTCAGATATTGATGTTTCTACTCCACCACCACTCTACGTGGAGCCTCATCTGACGGATCTTGGAAGATTAGTGGCGCAACTGCCATTGGATCCGCAGCTCGGTTAGTTACTACACTGGTTAATTATTTTTATTTACTCGAAAGACCGACTTCCTTTAGACCTCGGCATAAATAACCGGCATATATATATGTATATATAATATATATATGCATGCGTATATACGTTTATCTATGCATATCTATAATGTATATATATATATATATATGTATAAGTGCATTTCTATTTATCATCTACGCTGTATTCTTTTCCAAACAAGTAACAAATTATTTTTGGTAGCGGTAGAATATAGCGTGTTCAGACAACTTTGTACGATGTTTGTTTAGCTCGTCTACTCCTTTTCGGTGTGGTGTTGAGGTGCTTGAATCCTGTTGTAACACTTGTCGCTGCTCTGTCATACAGAGATCCATGTATGAATTCGCAAATATTTTAGTTTTAGATGCTTTCTTTTCATTGATACTATGGAAAGTTTCTATTTATTTTCAAATGTTGTAGGTTTTCATCTTAGAGATGTGATAACCACATATTACTTAAGTGATATTACAATAACGTTTAGTCATTAGCGATATTAATATCCTCCTTTTTACATTTTGAACCATTTTAGTTATACTTGCTCTGTCTGAGGAACGCGAGCAGTCCAATCGACAACGTGATGGTTTTGGGAGACGTGATTTTTCCGATCATATCACTCTAATAAGGTAGAGCTAAAGAAGAACACTAATTTTGGGTTGAATTATGTTTTTCAAAAAAGCTCGATCTTACGATAATGCCAGTGCTGTAAAAAGGAATTTCCTAATGTCTATATCTTATTGGCTCAGAAATACTGTTGAGAAAACACATTGTGCCAGAAAATTGGCACCTACCTTCATTCTGTTTTCACTTCTTGCCAAGTGGTGGTACACCACTTTCGATTAAAGCGCTGCATTTTACCAACTTTAGGGCTTTCAATGAATTTAACGAGAAGAGCCCAAAGGAAGCTGTGGCATTTTGCCGCACGAATTACTTGTCCTTGCCAGCAATGAGAATGATAGCTGGGATACGGTAGGTTGTCTCTACTATTTCTTTTATTGTTAGTTAAGGTTAATTTCCGTCTATGTTCGTTAATGTCATCGCCTATTTGTATAGGTGTATTTAATGGTAGTAGGACAATAAACGTGACTGAAATATTCTCAAGTATGACAGCCTTGCGATTGTTGATAAAGAAAACAACGCAACATTCTTTCCTTGGAAGACAACGTCAGCAAATCAAAACATTATAAACAGTTTTATTTCAGACGTTTAATAGCACTGTTGCTCTGTTATAACATCACTGCTTAGCTTTATTAAAGTGATTCCTTACGTAATGTACGCCAGTTATAGTCGTCAATTACTAATCGAATTACGTCGAGTGCGAATGATCTCCTCTGATGGCGACGTGATGAACGCTCTTCGTGATGTGACATACAATTAGTACTTTATTCGTTTTATTTCACGGTCTCGTTTAGCGTGACATACGTCGAATTCTTATTTCAGTTATTCTTCTTGTTGGGAAATGGTTCAAGCAGCTATAGTGGCTGGTTGCTACCCTGGGATAGGTTTTGTACGAGCTGGAAATAAGTTGAAGAAGATCAGAACAAGGTTGTTTTCGAACTCTCATAAAATTTGTGAATATGTCTATGAATGTAAGTAGACGAGCATATTTCTGTGACAAGAAGTGAAAACACTAGTATGATCTTTTTCAGCACTGAAGCTGTGGCTACACTTCATCCATCATCTGTTATCAAACGGCAAGTACTGTCGGCATCAAAACGGAGCGAAGTGATAAACCAATATGTGACAGAGGATTCAGAAGATCCAACAATTGAATATCTAGCGTTTCATGAACTAGCAAAGATTGATGAAGGATTGACGGTTAGCAGTATTATTATAGGAATGATTTTTCAAAAAGCGAACATAGTGGCAAATCATGATGCGTCACCATCTTTAAATCACGTTCTGGGTACATTTTAGTGTAATTGTTTCTATTATTCTTTAGCTGCGTACAGTGACTGTAGTTCCGCCATGTACCATTGTGTTGTTTGCTGGCTCAATAAGACTCAAGAAGAGCACGATGCAGAATTTTGACATAAGTCAGTTTCAGTACTTCCATATTTGATTATTTTCCTATGCAAAAGTGGTAACTTCACTAGTACTGTACTTGTTACGTCTTTTTCGTGTATGCATCGTCTTCAGCTGATCCAGAATCAGGTGATGAGGGTGACGTCGAAGATGAAGGTACAAGGGATGTCGTGCATTCTATCGAGCATTGGATTGATGTACGAGCAACCTATCCTGTATGAATTATTTTTTATCCTTATGGTGGTTATTAAGTTGTCAGTGTGTTGGTGGAAGCAGTATTTTCCAGAATGCGGTATGAAATCATACCGTTACTATTTTTAAAGATGTTTTAGCTTTGTTTATGCTGTTAGACCCTAATTAATTCATGAATTTAGAATCTACTCAGCTAGCCGTCAAATTTTTGCAGGATATGAAACGACTGATTCAGTTACGATTCAAAGTGATGTCTTATTTCCTTGCCGCAATCCATAAACCACAAATGCTCACCAATCCGCAAAAAGAAGACAATGTGAGCTGTTTATCTCTTGAAGGACTCACTGTTTATTTTAAAATCCACTGGTTTTGCATTGCTCAACTATTTCAGTGTTTGTAGTTGAGTGGTACATCAATCCTTTCTAGGATCTACTAGAAACACTCGCACTTGTACTCGAAACTGATCATCATCAGATGAATTTCAATAAATGTGTATTACCACAACCCCAACTTATCTATCAGCAACATCAAGCACCGACGTCATCATCGACTTCTAGCCATTCCTCGCAGAACACCCAGCAGACCAACGCCCAGCGTGTGGCACAAGGAGAAGTGTGTGTGAAGTATATCATTCTTGTCATGATAGGGTTTTGTTTTCAAAATTCGCAGGCTTGGAATAGGACACGGCAGCTTTGATGTTGTATTATATTATTTATATTGTTTCCTCTCTTACTACCTTTATTTGAGAAGGTTAATGCTAAAACTCATTTACAGGTAAATTTTTGCATACAATTGATTTATCTGGCGCTATACAGACTGTTTTTTCTACAGTTTTACGCATTTTAAAGAACTTGCCCTAACCAGACCATTATGAGTAGCGACTTGGGTTTCTCTTTTGCTTCATTTGTCTCTGTTTACAAAAACTTCGCTTTTAAAGGGATCCACATCGGAGACAAATATGAATGGAGTCACTGAGTCGAGTCAAAAATCGGTAGGCGTATTAAGCACATTTCTTCGTTTTTTTTTTTTGTGCACGGTGGTTGTAACACAGTGGTTAGAGATGCCCTCTAGTACACACTGAATTAGCAATTGGTTCGCTCTCGTGCTCCAGTCTTACAAAGAATTCCATCCGTTTGGGGTCGGAAAATCAGTATCAGACTTGTCTGGAAACCTGGCAGTGCTGAATGGAGACATCAAAAGGCCACCGTAACTCATTTCATAAGCCAAATATTTATTTAATCGTTACTAACGACACTTGATGAGGTTGAATGCGCCTTTCACAGATTAATCAGCGCGACGGGATGTGTAATTCTTTTTATTATTATTTTTCACTTCATATTTCAGTGCATATCTTCTAGGTTCCCGTTGTTTTAAATCCGAATACGATACCATCATCACAGTCTGCCCCAAATTTCCACAGTGCAGGTCTTGAAGAACGATTAGCATCAGAAGACCGTTGTTCACCACCATCAATGCAACAGGAAAGAGGACAACACGACCGCAGTCAGCGACAACAACCGAGACGATATGTTGGTAATCAGGATGACTACGGGTATCAAAAAGTGGGTGATCAAAAATTTTGCAATGCTAGTGTTTTTTTTGGATAAAATTTTGAAGCCACGCCATCCTATTCTATGAATGATTGAAGTAGTTCAAAACCATTTGTTTACTACAGTATTTGATAGGTTGTTCCATTCATCTAACACCTATGTCAGCCGTTTGTTCAGTGGTTGTAACGGGTACGAATAAAATCTTCCGTTGCTTATCACCGTATCTCACGAGTATACAACGGTTTATAATGCCTTTGCAGAATCGAAAGAGCGTCGTATTTTTCGTTGACGGTCGTTGTGAATAAATATTATCGTCGTATCAATGCGATTAACGTGGCCTTAAGTATCATACCGAGCTGCCTCGTGTCCTGAAGTGGTAGTGATGGAGATCTGGATTCTCTGTTTGAAGAGTTAATGCATATTTGTAAAGGTTTTGGAGTTCCTCCGTCGCCACGGTTCGCCAGTCATTTGAAGAAATAATTAGAATTCCGTCTTAAATGTTCTGGTCATGCATGGTTTGTATCTGTTTCTTCGACAATGGCAGGTGTTATTTCAAAGCTCTTAACTAGTTCAGAGCTTCGCACGGTGAAGGTGGTAGTCGGATTCGGTACAGGAAAGTTACACACCGTCGGCGTTAAGGCGACACCATCTTGTACTCTTGTGCGTCTCGTCGTTCATTGGTCATAATATCTCATATCCACTGGCAACGTTCTTTGATTTTGATTAGTGAATTTCATTGAAAGAGGAATATTGTAAGCATGAACGGTGTTTATTCATTTTTGGGTCCGTTATTCCAAATTTAAGGATTCCGCACTATGACGTCGACGTACGTGTCGAATTCGCACGAGTCAACAAGGTGGGTGTCCGAATAAATCTAGGATTACGTATGGTATGTGTCAAAATGTGTATAGCACAGTGATCAAATGTGGTATCTTGTGATGCAGATCGTTCTTAGTTGCATCCCATACCCAGCGCAAAGTAAACCCTCCATCCTTACACGGTCGGCAGATTGCTACCACAGTTGGGTACAGGAAAAACATTGACTTGACACATCGGTAAGCTATTACATCACTTGTATAGGACAAATAAGCATTAAGTGCACGTCCGTAAGGGATAATATCATCAACTCCTTACCCTTCGTCCTCGTCTACGTTTCATTGCACGGTAAGTGGTCTTCTTTCTCTACTCTCCTGCTTGACGGTCACTTTAAAGGTCTGCCGTCTCAGATGTCGCAATTTTCGAATATTGATGTAAGGTTTTGCTCCATTAACTGCATTGTTGTAATTTTGCAGGGCCGTCGAAACAACCACGATGCGCGACATTTTAGCAACAGGAACAGAGACGGTTGGCAGCGATGTAGGTCTTACCAGTTACGTGATGGTTACCGCGACAAGCGTCCGCAGAACTTCCGTGATGTTGAACGAGAGCGAGGTGGAAGAGATGAATTAGCTGCCGGTCCATCTTCGTATCAACCTCGACAAAGAATTCAGGTCAATTCTCACTTTTTCAACATGGTATGTTCGTTTACACTTTCCTTTATTTCTGATGGAAAACGGCTGATTACTCTTTGGAATCAAGTAAACGTACAGGCAATTAAAATATACGGTTGAGCTGCTATTATGACATCTAATATGATTCCATAACTTTCTACAACAACACCTTTATTTCGAATACTGAGTGAAAGTTTTGATACATTTTTTACAACGTCGAATGTCGCATTGATGCTGCATAGAAAAACGCCTGTTTTTACTTTACTTGCGGACTTGATACGATTTGTTAGCAATACACACAGATTGGCACATGATCAGCGATGTCCTCGGTAAAGCAAACAGTTATTTCTTGGTAAATGAAGACCTTAGTAATTGACAACATCGCAGAATTACAGAAGAGACTTTGATCCATTTCTGTAGGAGAATCTTGCATACTTCGTGTTACTATGGTCTATCGCGAAGCCACATTGGTGCCAGCATTTACGTCTTGTGTTCAGTTCATTGAGTGATTTTTATAACCACTCACGATAACCATGATTCGTCATAGCGACTGATGCTGAGATAACATACTATAAAAACAGTAAATTTTCTTTATTTATATACTTTATGACACACCATCACATGTCCTGCCTCTTTCTTCACTTTATTGGTTACCTTGAATCCGTTCGTTATTCATGTAATGTTTTCGGATTTATGTGTGATTTCGCTTTCCTCATGAATGTCGTTATGAGTATCGTTCAATACTCGTTGAGTTCTTTCTGGAATCCAAGGATGGTCTCGCATGAGCGTTCATTAGCGCATGAGCGAGGTTCTCATCACAGTTAATCGCCGAAAACTACGAATACGGTGAGACTCCTCTCAGGGGAGTCTGCTTCCAGTTTCTGACCTTGAAAATATGGGAAGCTTGGTTGGACCGAAGTGGGGTAGTCTCCAACCACTACGCTTTCCACTCGTAACAATCTATTACTGGTATGGAATTGAGCTTTGTACGTCTCATGTAAAGAATTCTAGTCTTTCGATAGCTCCCTATAATATTATGTATAACTGCCTCTGATAATTTCTCAACGTTTCGGACCGCTTGTATCTGCGATGGAGACCACCGGATAGCACCCCTTCACGTCTATATAACATTCTAAAATAAGTGTTCTTGAACCCTGTATAGATCTACACTACAGTCACGTTTATAGAAATCTCAATGATTTGTTATTTTATTGGAGCAAAAAGGCTGCTCGTGGCGCAGTAGTTGGAGGCGCCACTGCGACACACGTGGAATTGATCCCCGCGCCCGTGGCTCACCAAGCCTTCTATCTCTCTGGGGTCGGCAAATTGGTACCAGAGTT